GATCGTTCGACCATGATACAATTTCCGTATCGATATATATATATATAAGTAGTCTAGGACTCCATATGTTTCTGCTTTTCTATGCCTGAGTCTATATCCCTCAATCTTCAATTTCACCACCCGGTCCGGGGTCAAATGTTGTTTCATACAGTTTTCTGGACTTCCTTTGATCACTGCAACCCTTCCTCCACGTTCCGCTCTTCACCAACAGAATCGCTCATGTCTGGCTCCGCCAATTCATGTGAACATACAGCCATACAGCCTTGGCAGTCAACAGAACCATTGTCGGGTGGGGCAAGGTTCTGTCCATTAATTAGTATAGGATACTTGCACATGGTTTCACCAATAGAGATAGGAAAGATCTTCCCAACCGTCCCAACCATTCGATATATCCTTTTGACATATCTACCTCTTCCACTTAGATCCTCTCCAGATCATCCCTCCTCTCGTTTTGTCCATTGCTCCGTCCATCCCGACCCCAGGCGCGGTCCGAGTCCTGGCCGATCGAGTACACCCCAGCGGTCGAGCAGACGAGTGGTGCGGAGCCCAAGAGGATGAGCCTACAAGTCATGGAATGCATTATGCATTGTGCGGCACATGATGTGCCTTGTGTGGGTGGGTTTTCGAGTGTTTTGAAGAAATGCGCTCGATCTTTTAGCCGCAGCAGATGTCAGCTGTTTTGAAAGAGGAACTGAGAATCCTGGTCTAATCCTGGTCTAATCAGAGGATGTCGGCGACCACTGTTTCAGTTGTTCTTCAATCCTACGACTGCTAGGGCCAAATCGACAGAATGTCCACCAATTCGAAGGGAAGAAGAACGAAGAGGTGTCCACTTTGGTGTCAGTGTGGTCGGGAGATCCCTTCCGCAGGCCATGGTTAGGCCGCTAGGCTTAACCCAAATCCCGCAATTCCAAAGAAGGCGGAAGGGGTTAGGTGAGGCGCTTGGAACCACAAGTATTTTCCAATCCATCGTGATCTTCTCCATGGCCCCAGGAGTACGGGCGGACTCTTTCAGAGAAGCACATAGCTCTATGTTGATCTTTTGAAGGTTACAATGATGATTCTCCCACTATACACAGGCGCCTCATGCCAATGTCGCAATTTCACCTCTCCAACTCCCATCAACTTCACGTGAGAAGGAATCCTGGGCACCTATGACATTGATGCCAACGAAGGACAACAACGGAAGTAACAACAGAGTACGGAAACTTCAAAGAAATCTGATGAAGCTTCTAGTTTCGAGAAATCGGGGCGGGCGGGGTTCATTGACGGGTCTTCTCAACCACTTCGGTTGCCGAACTCCTTCCACTCCGGCAGCGGCGTGGTGCCTTGCGTCGGATCGGAGAGAGTTTCCAAACGGTCTCGATGGACGTGGGGTTTTAACGGTTTGGTCACCCATCCCAAGAAATGTCTGACTATCTCTCCTATCTTGGAGGGACATAGGAGACCGTTTGGGAACTCTTTCAGAACTCTACACTCCTCCACCCTATGGATCCACGTACCGAACCTCAGAAGGCGTCCTTGGACCCTCCCACCGCGCCTACATAAATAGTCTCCGTCCTCACCGTACCTCAGGTTCGGAACTCGTGGATCCATAGGCGCCAGGAAGAGGAGCGGCGCTCAGCGTTCCGGTTCGGAACCACCGATGGTTGGACGGGAGAGAGGATGAAATCCACCGAGTTGATCATGATTTGCTTGATTGAATCATCGTCCTTTTTCGGAAAAGCATACATGAAGAGATCCCAGTTGGGGTGAACATTTGCTACAAAACATGGGCATTCTTGGCGTTTTTGCTGCGCGAACCGGTTTGAGGGAGAGTAGATGCACAGGTGCACCATTTGAATCCAGCGGTGAGCCGGGGAGATGGCATTTGTGGCTTTAAAGACTGTGTTTGTTTTGTCATGCTCCTGTGACTGATTCTAGTCAAATGCCGCGAAAGAAAGGAAAAACTACAGGTTACTTTCAATGTCATTCTTGAGGCAGGGTATTTCTTCCCATTGGTTCATGATGCGGGGCATCTTCATTTGCTTCGAAGCCATTTGAAGCGCATTCACCTCCGCCTCGGATGCCATGGAAGACGTGAGTCCGGACACCGCGCTGATCGACCTGGAACAACTGGGAACGACGAGTGCTGTGGGGTCCGCGGGGCGTCCGATCCCTTGGAAGAAGCTGTCGGTGGCTGCGGTGGTGATTGGGACTGTGGCGTACTTGTCATGGCCCAAATCATCGACTACAAGCGCAGTGAAGAGGAGCGTCCAATTGTCCTCGTGGGAAGATACACTTGAGGAGTGTACCAACTTGTTCCAGATGGCTTTGGATGCTGATGAAGACTCTGTCCAAGTCGGGGTTTTCGACTATGATGATCAGACCTTGGCGCAAGAGAAGATCCGCACAGCTGAGCAAGCAGCGAAAGCCATGCATGATCCAGAAACCAACTTTGTCCAGATCGGCACATGTGGTATGCAGGTGGGTGGGAATATAGGGACTGGGCCGATATGGACCTGCATTCCCGCATCGTCCTGTAGCCCCCAATCAGAAGTTATTAACAAGCAGCATAAGTAAGTCGCTGCCTCACTAGTCAAGTCAGAGAATTCACAACTCACGAGATCACTCACTAGTTGAAGAAGTCTGAGGGATTGCGGGGTTTCACTGGTTTTGTTGCTTGCAGGTCCAGGGTTGTGAGTAGCATTGCAGTGGCTGCCATACAATGCAATATGTGATACAATCGTACGCCACACTCTGATTGCAGTATGTTCTAGCGCGGTGGTACGTGGTAGTTCTTGGTGTGTTGGGTCGCAAGTGTGTTCCACGCAACTTTGTACTGGAACTTCAATAACCTCAACTAATACCAATCGGTCAAGCAGTCATGCCAGCAATCAGCTTCAGCCAATCAGTCAACGAAGGCGACAAGAATAACCATGGCCACAGTTGGAGGATTCCATGCCTCAACGTTGGTGTGTTCACACGCAACGTTTCGATGGTTTGGCAGGAGCGTTCGGTGGTTTGGCTGTACCCGGACAAGAGTGGCGACCACGACGGTGATGATCACGCTGCTTTCCTGGTGGCAGATGGAGAATGCAAGCGTATTGAAGCCCAAGTGAATGACAAAAAGTCCGAAGCCATTTTGATGCAGCTAGCAGCAGTTGTTTTTGATTGTTTGTTGCATGTGTTCATCGAAAGCAGAACTGTTCAAGATGCGAAGATGTGGCGTTTTTCAATTTGCATCACCCCCTATCTATGTTGATGAGGGTGCTGTTGTCGACCTCCCAATGTAATTATACGTAGGATCTCCTTAGGGTGTTTCATTCCAAGAAACCTTTGGGGCAGACTTTTCGTTCGCCAGAAACATTCCACGATCTTTTTGTTGTCAACCAAAAATGGCTTTCTTCACATGGTTCAAACAGAAGCGGCGCCTCCATGCTTTGGCTCCGTCCTTCTTTGTTGCTCCGTTCGCTCGTCCTGTCTCGCAACTCACCGCTCGCGCTGCTCACACCGCCACCGAGGCCGCCTGCATCGCGGTCTATCGCATCCCGGACCCCGCGGCGGGCATCGCGGTGCTGAACCACTTCCATGGCATCGGCACCATCAGCCATGCCGTGGTGGGGGGACATGGATCGGATTCCGCCCAGACGCTTTGGGAACGTCGAGGGTGTGACGGTGGGGGGGGGGGTTGATCAGAGGTGTGTGTTTTTTTGGGGGCCGGCGGAAGGAGGAAAGACTATAGGAGAGGAGGGGTGTTTTCGTTTTTTCGTAGAGGGAGCAGCGAAAGAGTATAGTGCTGCTAAGTGATGGGTGGACATTGAAACCTATAGGCCGGAAAAATGGGAGAGAAAGAACCACTCCCTGAAACAGACCTGAAACAGACCACCCGGTATTTCTGGGCTTCAGAGCCGATGTTTCGTGTTCCGAAACGGATCAGAAAGGCCAATGGTTCATCAGATGTGCCAGAACAATGCCATCGTCCAAACGAGGGTTCTTCATCTTTCATCGAGGATTGGGGTTGATGTGAGGTCTCCCATCCCGTAACTGCTCAGGAAGAATGGTGAGCTGCAAATGAGCAGTGACATTGACCTGTCGGGCAAAGATCCGGTTGCCCTCACCTTGGTGGACACCTTGGCCACGAAACTGACACCCCATGGCACCATCTTCCTGGAGTCTTTGGCTGTGTCATCGTGCATGCCATTTTCTCCGGATCCGACCGGAAACGCACCAGCACCGCACGGAACTTCGGTGCGAAGCTGAGGATTCGTGCTTCGCAGGCATCAATGGAATTGCGGAGATGTTCTCGAAAAGGATTCCAGACCATTGGGTCGCTTGACACTTCAACCATGGTTCAATATCAGATAGATGCGTTTCCCTTTGTCCTGTATACTGCCTCCACTGTACGTGTGTCACTTCGTTTCAAACCAAGTGTTTTCCAAACAATGTGGTCCTCATGTTGAACGCCATCGCGCTTCGAGAGAGAGAGAGAGAGACACAGAAAGAGAGAGAGAGAGAGAGACCGAGACAGACCATGGAACTTTGCGAACGCCAAGTCCGAGCAAGTCCAAGTCCTGGCAGACCACCCCCTCTGGCGTAGGAACAAAAGCAAAAAATCCGCCAGTAGGAAAGCCGGCCAACCGCTCGGCTCAGGTCATGGGTGGCGTGGTCTCGTTGCAATCCTTCATCCAGGTGCACGACACGCCCTTCGATGGCACCGAAGCCTCGGGCCCCACGCAGGTGACCTCGGAGTTGGCCTTTGACCAGGTGGTGAATCCTTCGGAAGGCATCGATGCAGAAGGGGCCGCTTGGTGTATTTTTTTGTTTAAAGTGCGTTTTTGATGGGGGGAGTTGGGGCCGTACATGTTTGGTCTTTTTTGTGACCCTTTTTGTGAGGGTGGGCGCGGTGGGCGCGTGTGTTCTTCTTGGGGGAGATGACACCTGCGTCCGGGGGGGCGGCTAACATGTGTTCTAATTTATTCGATTTGGCGCGGGTTGCATTAGACCAGTCCTAAACTTTTAGGACTCACGCTGTGCACTTCCTCCCTGAACAAGGAAGGACGCAAACCACTTCGGCGAACGAAGCAAAACCCCCCGCGGTTTGAAGCCTTTTGAGGGTGGGTTTTCTGGCAAGTGTGTTGAACGTGCTTTTTTGTCGGGATCCCAGACCAATCCTCCAACCTGCCGATCACGTCGAAATTCTTCCGATCTTCGGTGGTGTTCCGGCCCGAACCGAACCGAACACATGCAGGTTCTTTCCTCCATCCTAAGGACCCCACCTTCGTCAAGGGCATGGCCTTCGAGAACGGCGGCAAGGTCGAGGAGATCGATCAGCTGAAGGGCGAGCGCGTCGTGGCCTGGTTCGGTGGCCAAAACCGCGGCAGCGTCACGCAATGGCTCTACCCCTCCGGCGACGAGGAGGCGCGGGTGCGCTGCGGGTGACCGGAAGGGGACCGACTTGGACCCGAAGAATGGACGTCCGGGAATTGAACCACTTGGAAGAAGCCTGTTCGTCGGAAAGCCAGGATTCCACGAGCCCCCGGCCACAAATAAGAAAGCGGCCAGGAAGTCCGGCCACAACATGTGTTTTGCCACAGCGTTTGTTGTTTTCGGGAAGACTCACTCTGGAGGTGCTGAAGGTGAATTGCAAAGTGGAGGTCCAGGAGCCATGGTTTTTACACCAAACATGTGTTGAAATCTGTGAAAATATGCAAATGGTTTAAACCTATCCTAAACAGTTGTTTTAAACATCTTAAACCCTTCAAAGCTGTTTTCAAGATATGTGTCAACAGGCACCGGTGCGCCAGCCCCTTTGTTCAGGAGCCGTTCTACGCGTTTCGCATGGGCCCCGCTGAGACGGAGCAAACAGACGAAGATGCTGAGGATGGCGATGGTGAGGCGAAGCTGGGAACAGTGATGGCATGGCATGCGGAGCGACAAAGCATCGGGTCCCAAACCAAACTGTTTCAGAGATGATAATTGGTTGGTGGTCTTTTGAATCCACTGTTGACCACCCCAACTCAGCCGGAAGATATGATGAAGAAATCCACCACATCTGCCGGTCCACCGTCTCCCCCAGCCCCATCCCACGGGCCCCTACGAGTACTGCAGCACAGTGAAGCACTTGAGTACCAACTGATGGGTATGATTCGGCCAGTTTTATGGGAATGTATGGGTCATAGGACGAAGATGAAACACCTCGAAATGTAGCACCCAAAATCTGATAAGGGAAGAAGCATGTCGGCAGCAGGAATCGCTCGTGTTTGTTGGCCTGTCTGTCAACAGTTGGCCGATGTTAAAATGTCGATTATGTTGGTCCCCAACGTCGAGCATTCAAACTGAGCTCCTGTGTTCCAAGCGCTGAAGCCGCGCAGGGCTTGGGTGTCTTCGAGCAGTTGCTACCACGGGGCTTAGAGGGATGGGTGGTGTTCATCTATGACGTGGGCAATGCGCCAACCTCGGGGAATGCGTTGATCAACTACGACTTGCCCAAGGAATTCAAGGAGATGGGCCCGGTTTTCGGGCAGGTCGGTTTTTTGAGCACGCCATGCCACCCCGGAAGTCCAAGTGAAACATCTTTCTGGTGGGGGACTCTCATCCTCCAACTCGACTCGTATTTTTCGCGTCGTTATCGTTGTCAAAAAAAACCGAACCCATCAGTCAAAACCACCTGGCACACCGGGCACACGGACAGAGAGTCCCGTAGTTAACTCGCGGCACGTGTTCCGTCCGCTCGGCTCATGTACGGAACGTCTTCTTTGTGCCTGGTCGTTGTGAAATCCAAGGATCTGACAGGTTTGTGAGTCAGGCCTCACATGCTATTGGCATCGCTACTAGGAGCAAGGACGGAATAGGAAAACATACCATGCTCATTCGACTGGGCCTTTTCCTCTTTCCCCTGTTTCGGTCGCTCCGTGACGGCCAGGAGCAGGGAGTGACGGGTGGCACGGGACAGACCTTGGGTCCCTTGTTGACGCTGACCAAAGACTTCAGCAAACTGAGTGTGACCTGCCCTGAGTGATTCGAATCATCCGGATGTATATCATCTAAATCTGAAGGCCACAAAGCATGGCCAGACTTTTGCCACAAAGGATGGCAATTCAAAATAGTTAGATGAGGGTTCTTTCGATGGCTATGGCTCAAGATTCTTCTTACTCTACCAGTGGAATAGCAAGATGAGCCATATATTTAATATATATATATGATTGGTTGTTATACAGAAATGATACCACTCTTCTTGAGCCATACACAAAGAGGGGAGCGAATCGCTTAGTGGCCCTGTTTAAGTCCTGTTTAGTTCAGGTGGCGAATCGCTTTCCCGTTCCCTCCAGCGATGGAAAGACACGATCGACTCTGAGTGATGAAAGCATCACATGGTTCCGTGGATGGCATTGGAAAATGGGTCCCGGGGCTCCAGGAGGTTCCTATAGAAACCAGGGGGTTTTTCCCATGCATCTAACCATGTGTTTTCGTCAATGCCATTCTTGGGGGGTTCATGAGTGCCCGACCTGAGACTGGCCGAAGCGTGGTGGCGGTATGAGGATGACCTCCTTCATAGATGGAGATCAGGGGATGCTCTGGCATGTTTCCACCCGCGATATTCTCATACTGATCCACAAGTGAACACTGGAGATAGGCATGAAGTTATCCTTTCCTTGCAGTCCTTGCGCGACTCGGCACGTTTAAAAATAGATGCCTCAAAACCAGGAGTTCACGGACACACAGGCTCCATGAAGCAAGTTTGTAACTAGATTCCTAGATGCAGCTTATCCACGAGAATGGCAGGATGATCAGAGTCAGACATCTTGCGATTCAGGTCATCACGTAACCGTGGTGTCAGTGCACCGTGAGCCAGCTCTGTGATATATATATATATATGCATCTTTTTAGGGGGGTTCATGGCTATGAGTTGCATTCTCCTGTCAGGTGTCATTCTGCTTACCCTTCCACATGTTTGAACTTCAGGCTGGTATTTGTGGAGTCGTTGGTGCAAACTGTATCAACAAATCATGCCAGTCAGATGTCCTGTGCTGTTGTTTGGGCGGTCCGTTGTCAGTTGAATCGCCGCTGTCAGTTGGAGAACTGTTTTGGGTCGTTGTTTTTTCTATCAAAACGTGCGTTCCGGCCTGGACTTTGCAGCACTCTTGTACAACGTGTTTTGTTTTCAAGAACGAGGAAAGAAAATGCAGAACACATCTCAAACTGAGTACCGACTTGAGCATTTCAGCTCAAATTGACAAATTTTTAGTTAGCTGTTGTTCTTGGGGCGTTCGGATGTTCCCGTTCCTTTTAGGCCTACTTCTATGGCCTTGTGGCGCTTCCAATGACAGCGAGTGCCCGGAGTCCCCATCGTTGCTGCAGGCTCACAGCAATTCGTCCAGCTCGAAGAAGAGGAAAGGGCCGGAGTATTGGCTCCAGATTGCCACCGCCCATCCTGGACCGAGCTCGGAGGGAGAGTGCTGGACGAATCAAAAGATCTATGCACAAGTGAAAGGTCATGGCAAGAGCACGGGATGGGGCACTGACCTGGCTCGCCAGGTCACAGGAACGAACTTTCGCTCGGGGGACCGAGTGATCTACCAGCTGAGTTGCTGGAACTCGGATTGCCCAAGTCCAGATGAAGTGGAAGAGATTTGCTTGAAAATGTCATATACAAGAACCTCGGATCGACGCTGGTGCCCAGTTGACGTGATAGTCTTTGAGAAGCCTACCCTTCGGAAGCTGGGCCAGGTGATGAAAGGCTGGCCAGAGAAATGGGAAAAGACGACAGATATCGCCGAGGGATTTTGCTTTCCCTTTGATATGCCTGTCGAACCTCCTGAACCAAAAGGTTACTTCATTGGCGAGGTGATGTACTGGGCAGATTTTGGGCTTCCAGAAAACTACAAGGATATGATTGTCGACATATTCCCGATTCCTGATGGAATCAAGAAGCAAGGAGCTTACAGCCTTTACTATGGCTTGAAAGACTACTTTCTCGCCAGGAGTGGTCGTTCGAACACCATGTTTCTTCTTGGGGACAATGGCTACCTTGGAGGCAATGAAAACCAAGCAAAGATTGCTGACGCCATTGAAGAATACAGCCTTGGCAAGATTTCCAAAGACCGGACGTTCCCCATTATTGGAAACCACGATGTGAATTCCCCTTCAGAGTGCGCGGACCGGGAGATGGACTTTGGTGCTTGCTTCTTCGGAGACAATGGATTCCTAGGCAACTCAAATCCAACCAAAGGCCTTGACGAAAAGGAATGGGTTCGGCGCTGGTTGGATGGCTTCCCGAGCTTGAAAGGTGGAACCGTGGTGATCCCAGAGAGCGGATCCGGCACCAACTGGAGAACACCCTACAGGTATAACATCGAGCTCGGCCAAGGCAGCAGCGTTTACTACATCGTTGGTCTTGTGGCAGGAACCAAGGTGGCGAACTTCGTGGGCCCCTACTGTGAGCCCAATTGCTTTCCATACGATCGTCGACCGCCCCCTCCACCTCCATCGCCAGAAACAGTGCCAGCTCGTTTAGAGTACATGACACCAGGAAAAGATGCAAATGGAGAAGGAGAGCAGATTGAGTGCAACTTTCTCCGTGATTCGATTGCCCATGGTTCCAAAATGGGCAAGAAGATCTTCATCTACCTAACTCATGATGGGCCAAGCCCGGTACACAGTGATGTCACGGTTTGCCCAGAGGTGTTCAAGAAGCTGGACATTTGGCTCTACGGACATATGCACTACATGGGCTTGTCTGCAGAACCGGGGCAAAGGGTCAGGCAGGACCCCGAGACATTCCCAGTTCGCTTTCTTCTTGGAAACGGAGGCTTTGATGAAGGGTGGCCGAATGATGAAGGCATCTCAGAGAATGCTGTCAGCTTCGTGACCATGAGAGAGTACAAGGAATCGGACCGAGTGGTGTTGTACTTCCAAGCCTGGGACACCGGCATCAGCGCCACGAATTGCCCACGCAAAGCTCTTCACCTGATGAATGAGTGCTGGCAACAACTACTTGAGACGGATGGCGTCCATGGCCGTAAGGCAATCAAAAGCAAAGAGAACTTCCATTTCACTTTTGAGGCTCCATTGTGAGCCGCCAGGCTCCTGGAAAGAAGTTCCAGCCGCCCAGGCTTTTGGGGGTTTCAGCCTAAAGAGCTGGAACAAGAGCTGGATGAGTCAAGGCATTTGTCCAGGCCACACAAGGGCGATATGGGACAAAACAACGCCGAACACTGTGAGAGATTTGCAAGATGAGTTTCTTCCACATAATCCGGCGCATTGCATGTGAGATGTGTCAACTTTCACCTTCCATGTGATCCAATGTTTGTGAGGACGCCCGCAACTGCTCGTCCTCTGCGCGCGCAGATGTCGCGTGGAACTGCGACCCTGACATCTTCCACCGTTCCACCAGCCGATCCTTTGCCTGAAAGAGTTGTTGCAGCCGATCTGGACGTTTGAGATGTTCCGAATGAGTAAAGAGGCTTTATTAAAAGTGCCAGACAAAAGCCCTGAGCTTGGGTCCATCAGCACAGATTCCCTAAGGCATGTTTGCCAAGTCTTGGGACCTCGGCCGAGAGGTGACAAGAAGTTTGTTTGGAGTTTCGTCCGCGCAGATGTCCGAGGTCGGTCATGGCTCCGCGGAGGCACGCAGTTCCAACCCTCGACCTCGACCGGGAGATCTCGGGTGTGTGCACTTGGCACAAGGAGAAACAACGGCGCAAGCGAAACTGGCCGTGCTTGATCAACTGTTGTTTTTATCCGACCCCAGCCGTGGAGGAGTAATATATCTATAATAGCGTTCTTGTGACTAGTAGTAAGAATGCTACTAGCAGCGATGCCCGGGCTTCTTGCTCCTAGTAGTATGGCCAGACATTTTTCGCTAATGCGTGGGAAGCTGCGAGTAGCCTCTGTGGCCCACTCATTCCTGTGAGATCCATTCTCCGAGGCAAACGGTTGTCCCCTGAAGAAAATTTTGCGGGTTACATTAGTCAAGAAGACCGGGACTCTGCACTGAATAGAGTTCATTTGGTTGGGGTCCTGACTGGAGGAGGAAACAAAACTGACCTAGCGCTCCGTACCAACCAGACCCTCACAGATTTTCTGTTGCAGAATGGGGCCTCGAGTATCCAAACCCCGCAATTCGTCAAAGATGTCTTGATTCTGGCAGGTGTCACACGAATGCAACAAATTCTGGCTATGAGAGACCATGATGCTAAGCTTGCACAGATCAAGCATACAGCTCTACACTTTCATATTCCACTGCCAGATTTCGCAGATTTCGACGCCGATACCACAAAAAGGGTCCGACGTTTTGCAATCAAACGATCTGAGGATACTCCATCACATCAAGCCATGGAGTTTACCCTTCCCGACACTTTGTTTAAGTCAGCTACAGGCACTTTCGTAAAGGCGGGAACTGATCGCACACGTTCTCAGGGGGTCTTTCTGATCGACGCACCGGAGGCAGAAACATTTCTTACATCACATCAAGGTGCCACTGAACCATGCATCATGGTTGTCTTGGGGCCAACTTGCCCATTGGCCAACCGGACTTGCCGTGCCTGTAATTTGCCAGCCGCCGACAGTAAAGGTAATAAAGTCGTTATTGCAGTCTGCGTCCACATACTAGGATCTGCCAAGGTCACTCTTCATGGAGAAGATCAAGATGACATTGCCACGGAGTCCACGTCGGTCCTGGCCTTCACTGCATGGAAATCCGAAGTTACAGATTCATTATGGTCCGAGCTATGTGAAGCACCAGTGAGAACCCTATGGAAACTTTTCGCCATTGACCCAACAAAAAACGTCGTGACCAGACCATGGGGTCGAAGCTGGAGGAATGACACTGCTCCGACAGAACCCGATCAAGCGCAAAGTTTCCAAGTACATGTGAGAGTTTTTACTTCCATTGTCTCGACCATACTTGCTCAGTCAGGGTCGCAAGGAGTCTTCGTTAATCCTAAAACCAGTGACGGAAATGCAGTAGATCCGTCCTATGCCATTATTTGGCTTAAGGATAAAGACCGCACGCAGGCACTGGAAGAGGCCAAAAAGATCCCCGAACAGGTTGGCTTAGTCTTGTCCTCCAAAACCAAACGCGGATATGGCGTGCGGGTTCCCAGTTCCGCATACGAGGAAGCACAGGGTATCCTCCAGCCA